ATAGCAAAAATACTAAAATAATACTAAAAAAATAATAAAAATAACGACAACAACAACAACAACGACGACAACGACTGCTGTAGACTTGTGCTTGCACTTAGGGATTAACGCTTCCTTATTTCACATTTATCGAAGCACTAAAATCATAAGAAAAAATTCCCTAAAACTAAACTATTTACGTATATTACGTATATTAGAGAAATGAAAGCCTAATAAAGCATTTAATGCGGAAAAACGAGAAAATTTTTTAAACAAAAACCACGAAAATTTCACGTTATCGTACGTAGAAGATCGCAAGTTTATTGAAAAGTTAAATAAAATAAAATAAAATAAAAATAAAAATTTATATTTGTAAAGTGGCTATTAAATTGCATGAAAAAGTTTTAAATAAAATAAAATAAAATAAAACAATAAAAAAAACAAAGGAGAGCAAAAATTGCCCCAAACATTTTGTGCACATTTTGTTAATAAAACAATAACAAAATAACAACAAAAACAACAAAAAGCAGCAATAACCAGTCAAGTCAAAAATAGCAATAAAACCCAATAACCACACAGCACCAGCAAAATATAACAACAATGCTGTAGTTATTGCAGCTACAATAACAACAACTACAAAAAATTGCATTAAATAATATAATGTTTAATAAAAATAACAACAAGTGATCGTGCAAAAAATAGATCGATAAAATTCGTCTACAAAGAAAGAGTCCCACAAGCCTCCTTCGCCTCCTTTGCCTCTTTCGGCTGATTTAATATTTTCGTAGCAGTGTGCGCGAGCTTTTCAAATAAAAACAAAACAAAAAAGACTGATACAAAAATTCGGTAAAGAATTGATAAAAAAAAAACCCTGTGCCGTTTTCATATTTTATACATACAGTCAAAGAAAAGCAGGCCTTCAAATAAATAAATAAAAAAGAAAGAAAACAGAAAAAACAAAAAAAGCAAACACAAACACAAAAACAAAATACAAAATTAATTTCACGTTTTTGGAGAGCATAGAGCAAGTAATACATATAATCCTAATAAATGACCCTACACGAGAAGGCCTTTGTATGAAATTCAATTACCAAACGTATAGGAAATCCACAACAACAACAACAACAATAACAACAACAGCAATAAGTATAAACACAAAAACTAAAAAAAACGCCGCAGCGCTGCAAAAATGTACGACATAAAATCTTTATCATTTGATGAACAAAATCAAAAGCCAAATAGCGCAGCAATAACAACAACAACAACTAGTACTACTACTACGGCAGTCACAACAACGAACACTGTAACAAATCCCGCAGCAGCAACAACAACACTATTAGCAAAACATACAAATCTAAAAAGTGGGCGTTTAGCGGCGGCACACAACAATTTCACAACAAACACCAAAAATCCCTACACACAACACCAACACAAACATAAACAACCACACCAACAACAGCAGCTGCTCAGTAATATAGCATTAGCGCAGCAGAACACTTGCGTCAGCGTCATATCAACAGCAAAAATTGATTGCGATTCAAACGCACTTGAGCACTGTAATCCTGCAGAAAGCACACATATGACCTTGTTGTCGCTTAGACGTCGTCGCCTATTGCAGCGTCAAGCTTGCCTAATCAGCATACTGGCAGCGTTTGTATTCGGTCTGGCGTTGGGTGTGTTCATGCCCATGTTCGGCCTAGCAAATGTGTTTGAACCATTTTCAACAGCCGCTACAACAGCAACAACAGCAAACGCTGCATTGCCGTCAATTAACATTGGCACTGCTGATATGCAAATATTGCCCGCAGCCACATTACCAGAACATAGCTCAGCATTAAATAATTTAAACAGCACAAAAATAGTGCAACGTCCACCTTCCGATTTTCCTACAATATATGAGCAGCACGCTGAAGCCATACTGTCAAGAGAGCGCGGCGATGGTAGCAGTAGCACAACAGCGGCCATTGCAACAGCTGATAATCCATTTTCAGTGGCTTTCATACAAGAAGAACAAGTGGAGCTAAGCGCTGAGGAAGTGTTTCGTAATGCTTTTCATCTGGAACAGTACAAGAACTCACCCGATACGATGGTTGTTAAGAAATTAGACGCAATTGATGGTAGCATTAAAGAATTTCATGTGCAACGTTTACCAGATGGACGTTTTCGTAAAGGTCCCGAAAGACGTCTATCCAAGCCTTCTCTCACCGAACAAATGTTGCAAGTTTCAAATGACAATAGTGGTTTCGTAGCAGAGAGCATCAATTTTGTGCCTATGGCTCAACGTATAATGGAGAATGCACGCAATCAACAAAACCACGGCATTATAAAATCCGATATCTATTGGGGTGATTTAGTAGAGCGTGCCTTACCCAAGGGTTTCACTGCAAATGATGCCCAAAAATGGAATAAATATGTTGCGAGTGACGGTATAGTTGAGCGTTTAGAGCCCGGTTGTGGTCGTATGCAAAATCGCCTCGTCATTTTTGCTGATGGTACACGTGCCTGTGCGCGTTATCGTCAAAATACCGATCAAATACAAGGTGAAATATTCTCTTTCTTCTTGGGTCAATTGCTTAATATGAGTAATCTGGCACCTAGTGCTGCAGCCGTTATAGATGTCGAATCACGCACTTGGTCATCTGCAGTTGCGGATATAACACAAGCGCAATGGAAGCAACAACGCCCAGTTGTGCTTACGCGTTGGTTGCCTGATCTTGAACCGGCTGGTATACCACAACCTTTTCAACCGCTTGAACGTCATTTGAATAAGTACGATGTTTGGAATATCACACTGGGTGCTGCAGCCGAAGCTTTGAAGAATGCAGCAACAACCACTAACCCAACCCTGGCACAAACAACGTACGACAAACAAAAAGGATTACTCAAACGGTTGGAAGCTGCCAGCAACACTAGAAACGATAATCAATCAATAAAACATAGGGCAGCACCTTCGCCTTTGCCCCTGCCTTCACCTTCAACTTTGACAGCGCAATCAACACAATTAACAGATGTTGCTGCTGCTGCTGTTGCTGATGCTGATGCTGATGTTGCTGCTGCAAATGAAACTACAACAACAACAACGTCTGCATCATCGTTGATGTTACGTCGTCTAATTGAATTGGCGCAATGGTCGGATTTAATCGTTTTCGATTATTTGATCGCGAACCTAGATCGTGTCGTCAATAATTTATACAATTTTCAATGGAATGCCGACATAATGGCTGCGCCTGCGCACAATTTAGCACGTCAAACTAATACGCAGCTGCTCGTCTTCTTGGACAATGAGTCTGGTCTCCTGCACGGATATCGACTATTAAAGAAATACGAAGCATATCATGGATTATTGCTGGATAATCTTTGTGTATTTCGTCAACCTACTATTGAGGCACTGCGTCAGTTGCGCTCGTACGGCGCCGGACGTAGACTGCGTGAATTTTTCGAACAAAATGCGAATGCTCAGGTGCGTGACGTCTTACCGCCACTGCCTGACAAATCAATCAAAATACTTGTGGATCGCATTGATCGTGTTTTGGGACAAGTGCAGAAATGCCGAGACTTATTGGCAGATAGATAATTGTGTGAGTACTGAGAGTTTATAGTGTGTTGGTACCAAAATTATTTGCTTTATTTTTAAAATGAAGTCAAAGAGGACACAAATTGTAAAAATTATAATAATGGCGCTTTTTATGTGTGAGATACGTAAATAACTTGTTACAAAAATTACTAAATGACTGCAGGAATAACATCTAGGCTAGATAAGAAATTCTTTAAAATATTAATTAATATATCCAAGGAATAATATTTTTTTTTAGAACGAAACAACTAACTAGCTGACGAAGTTAGATCTAAGCTAAATGAGAAATTCTTTAAAATATTAGATGATATTTTTGTGTGGATTAGAGATAATCATTATTGGATGGTAAATTAGTCCATAATTCTTTGCAATATTGGATTATATTTTTATATCCAATGACAAATACTCCTTTTGTCACAAAAGCAATTCATAATTATTTACAATATTAGTTAATATTTTTGTGTAAATGAAGAATATACTTTTTATTGGATAGGAAAGGGGTACATAATTCTTTAAAATATTAGTTCATATTTTTGTGTCCAACAGCGGTCAATATTTCTTTAAAATGTTTGCTAATATTTTTATATTAAATAATAGATATCAATATTTGGTCAATGGAGAAAATTGACTCATATGTTTTATTTCTAATTTAGTAGATTTTCGGGCTATATACCGCATATCCAATGTTAGGGAACATATAAGGAAGTAAATAAAAATTAATTTTGAATAATATAGTATATTAAATTATTAACACCATTTTAACTATAGTCTATAATACCCTGAAAATGACTTAAATTAGTTTTAAAAAATATAAATTTTTGTCACCAAAACATTTATAGTATTCTATATATGACTATAGACTACAGTCGAATATTAAGCCATCAGCAGTAGCTCTTTTAATCTTCGATTAATTGTCCGCAACCAATGATAGTAAATGTTGCAACCATAAGATTCAAACTTATTCATATGTATAAGTTCTCTGAAGACATGCTCATAGCTCTATTGTCCCTGAAACTTTTTCATGGTATATTACATGTTGACATATTGATACTTCAAATAAGTGGTTCAATATTTAAATTATTTATGTAATATTCTGTTAAAATATATATATAAAGGTGTATAGCTAAAATTTTTCATGTACTAAATATATATCTACGAAGAGTAGACCATAGAACTTAGAGAAATCTACGAGACAAAATCTTCTTTCTCATAAATCACAACCAATACAAATCCAAATCTGCAAGGAGTAAACCATAGAACTTAGAGACATCTTTAAAACAAAAACTTCTTTCTGATACATCTCAATAAACATTGAACACTTGTTATAAAAGTGATTATAGGTATGCTAAACGTCTGTAAAGAGGGGACCATTGCGCATATCAACAAAACTATACAATATCTTCTGTTAATGCTCGTACATCCCACATACTATTACAAATAACGAATTCTTACCACAATTGTTATATATAAACTCAAGTGTACTCTACAAGTCCACGAATTAATTGATAAGCAATTCAGATCTTGTTATAAAGAATAGTTTTATTTCTATTTTTTATTATATTCTTAATAATATAACAATTTTATATGTAATAAGTGTATTACATATTTCATAATTAAAAAATCTAGTTCTTTGTAGAAAATTATACGCTTTAACAGTTACTCTGTCATTCACATCCTAAACTTTTTCTCAGTTCATAAATTTTACAACATCAATTTAAGTATCGTCTTAGTGACGAAAAGATTCTGTGTAATTAAATAATTAGTGCCTAGATGAATGTATCCAGCTACGCCAATTATTTCTTTTCAATTTTATATACCATGCTTCATTACAAATATTCTACCAAGTATACAACATAATTTTGCTCTATTGGAGTAATTATATACACAATATTAATTGGTGCATATTGGTCCATAAATCAGTACATAGTATGTATGGTGAGATATTTTCACAAATCCTTTAGTTTAGATCGTCAATAAAAAGCAGTAATATTACTTATAGGAATAGACCATCATTACAAATAAAAATTTTAATGTAAACAATATCAATCAAATGTTTAATCTTATAATTTAGATAGTATTTTAAATGAATTAAATATATTTGATGTGAATATCAAGATATGATTGTAAAATACTGAAGAAAAATATCATTGCATTATATATCATTTAGTAGATACTTACTAATTTTTTATGAAGAATTTTAAGAAAAGAAAATTATGAAAGAATAATTTCATTTCAAAGTTGTCTTATATTCTTTAACAAGCATTTTAAAGTTTTAAGTATCCTTTATGTTCTAGAGCTGTATCTGCTATTACAAAACTTAAAGTTATAAATGATTGTAACTCAACACTTTATTCAACATTTTACAACACTTTTCAGCATTTTAGAAAATAGAAAATCTTTAGTACATATTATGTAATTTGGAAGATAATTTAATGGACATTTTAGAAAATAGGAGATCTTCAGTCTATATAATTTAGAAGAATAAAATTATTACAGTTTATTAAGAAATTTAATTCAATATTCTCGGAACATTATTTATACTAATTGATAACTTACAGTCTAAACAACTTAATTTACAACATAATAAGTTGAAAGGAAATAGTTCTACAAGTAAAAGTGATCGATAGAGTAATCATTTTATGTTCATAGAGTTAAATTTTAAACTTAATAACAAACTTTATATTGAGAACTCACATCTTAAAAAACATATTCTAATAACTTTAATGTAGGTCCATAAGGTTTTTATACTCTCAACTACTTCTTGTTGATCGCTACACTATCAACAGGATAGTAGTAGTAAGACACTTCATAATAAGAGTGATAGAATATAAAATTTCAATCTGAAATCTATTATTAGTTTGAAAATAATCCTTGTTTACATAGCTGGGACATTTTTTCTGTCTACCCCGTTCTGGCAAGAAGAAGGGCGAATCTTTCAAGCAAATACATCATTAACTCCTCTACAGAGGTGTATCACGCTAAGTTTAAAAACCTTTTTTGTTTTATATAACTCTCAGAATGTATACATAAGTAATAAAGTCTGTGTTGAGCAGTGGTATCCCATTAAACCCGTAGGGTTTAAGTTAGTAGATAAGCTAGGCTGACTGCCATATTTACCTAACTGAACTTACAGTGCACCTATAGAATCTCTGACCACATTCAACCCGTACAGTCTAAGTTAATTGGCAGGCTGTATAGCCACATTTACCTAACTGAACCCACAGTGCATTACTCTTAGCTCCTTTACCTATACATATGAGTAAATACTTGCTTATGTGTGCAAGTAACGTAATTAAATAATTACAATAAAAGCTTGTAATAGAAAATAACCTCTAAGACTTAAACAGATTATTTGTAGTTTCAATCCACATTAAATTCAATCTTCTTCAATATATGCATTTTATAGTTGGTAAATCCCAGAACCATTACTCTTCTCTATAGAGTAGATATTTGTATATCTGTATGTGTATTCTAATTAAGAAACTGTAATACAAACCTGAAATGAAACAAAACCTGAAATATCAATTCGATAATCCATGACTTGAATACATATTAAACTAAATCTCCTTCAATAACATACATGCATTTTTATAGTTAGAAACTCCCAGAACTTTTATTCATACCTATGACTGAGTATTTGTATATGTGTGTAAGTAGTGTAGTTATGCAACAAGAATAAAGGTCTAATATAGAAAAGAACTTCTGTCATTCTATCAGATCATTTATAGTTTGCCTTTTTTAGTTGATAACTCCCAGAAACTTTATTTAAACCAATTGGTGGAATAGTTTCTTTTCTAATAATAGATGATATGTGTTTTAAATGTTATTTATAATTGGCGTCATTTAAGATGTAAAGATCTAGTTGAGGAGTGAAATTTTGTGTAGGTCTCTCTCCAGATGTATATTAATATATCTCTGATCCTCCCAGAACCAATATTTAAACCTATTGGTGTAATAGTTTCCTTTCTAGTAATAAATGATATATGTGTTTTAAATGGTTATTTACGGTGGGCATCATTTAAGATGTAAAGATCTTGTCAATGAGTGAAATTTTCTGTAGGTCTCTCTTCAGATTTATATTAATATATCTCTAATGGTTATCGATTTTCTCCAAAACATCAAAACATATTCACACTAATTTTTGATACAATCTCTCGAAATATATGTCTCATTTCAGATTTAAATTTATATTGCTATGGTGTTCATTTTTCTTCTCAAAAATCTTCATTACTTAATTTTTGATATAATCCCTATAAATATATAACCTTTTGTGATTTTTAGACCTTTCTGTTCGTATCTTATTATTGATATAAAAATGTAGCAAAATAATTATTAAAGATGGATTGCTTTATCTCGTTACAGTACTAGTTTTTTTCGTAACAAGTTATTTACTAATTAATTTTTGTAAATATATATACATAAAATTTAAGTTGAAATGACTGATATATGATTTTATTTATAAGCTTATTGTGTATGTGTACTTATTTATATACAATATAGATAAACCCCAAACATTTACCAAATCAAAACGGGGGTGTAGCTCAAGAAATTTGTAAAGTATCTATAGAAATTTTATATGCAACAAAGTCAAACATGTAAATTCGAAATATATATAGTCAATAAATTATAATTGTGTTATATTGTACTTATATATATAAAATGCTGTTACACTATAAGTATTAATATTATATTAAAATAAACTAATTATGAATATGGAAAGTAAAATATTTATTATTAGTAAAACGAATCGACGAAAGGTATTAACTAAAATTGTAATGCTAAAAATTAAATATCGAACGATTTATGTTTTGAATTGAATTTCATTAAAGAAGAATTTCATTTTTATTGAAGTAGTACGAAATGTGATATAAGCTTAGTTAGATACTATTTAAGTTAATATGTATTAAAAATATTTTAAAATTATCTATAAGTGAATTTGATATATTTGATATAAAATAAACAAAAATTAAAAATTTTATTAAATCCAAAACTATTTCGTTTTTATAATTATTTTTCTTTTAATATACATACATACCTAACACATATAGATATATATATGTAGGTATCTCTGTCACATACCTATTTAACCATAAGCATATGTCGTATATGGAGATACGTATGTATCTGCTCATTTGTCTGGCACAACGTAGCAAATGGCAGCGCTTGTAATTGCATATATATTTATGTATTCCATAATTCTGTGAAGCCATGACAATAAATTGTCATTGATCTTTTTATCGCATAGAAGCAAGTTCAGCTGTGGCAAATGTTGCACCAACGATTTCGTTATGCTTAGTTTTTAGTCATTTTCCACACTAGCGCAGTAGCGAGCGAGTCTTGCATCTTGTGCGGAGCTGAGCTGAGCTGTCTGGAAGTTAAGCTTGGCTTTGTTATGCAGCTTGAGTTTTTTTCACTCAATTTTACCTCTTTTGTTGTTAGTTAGGTTCCATGTTTTCCTCTTTTCATAATATCTTCATAATTATTATTATATATATAAATTTTTTTCAACCTTATTTATTTATTTTTTTTTTTGCTCAAGTGATTTAAGTTAAACGGCAAGAAATGCTGCACGGCACAGGCACCAGCACATGCGACATATAAAAGGTTTTAAAATGACTAAGAGAGTTAGACTAATCTTGTCGGCAATATCGGAGCGCTACACTATTGTTTTATATGATGTAAATCGCATACACATAGTATAGTTTGATAAGAGCAGAAGATGTGTAGGCTTCTGTTTTTAATGTGATCTTAATCTTTTACAACTAAATATTTTAAAATGTGTAGTAATTTGCTTCTTTCTTGGATGGAAAAAATTATATCTAAACTTTTATATACCTTTTAAAGGGAATTAAGATGAATGGAAATGAATATGTTCTTAAGAACACATTTTAAAAAAACTCAAAAAAAAAACTAAATTATTTTTATACATCCTTATTCCAGAAAGGTTCTTTTGATGGGGCTGGAACCTTTCTGTGGATTAGGACATGGTACCATCCTTTCACTCACAAATATAATGGAGTACCAGAAAAAGGATTACTGGGATAATGTACCAGAATTAACACAATCCAAAACACTTCTTGGTACCTATAACAACAGAAGATACCAGGATCGTACGGACTGTCAAAAGAAAAACTAAGAATCATCACAGGAATCCTAACAGGGCACTGTATACTAAAATATCACCTTGCGGATATATACATATAGATGTAAACTATAGATTCTGCGAAGGAATGAGGAGTCAGCCACGCATGTGTTGTTAGAATGCTCTGCGCTAATGCACAACGGCAATAAAACTTTGTGAAGTAGGTTCCTACTCTAAATCCAGAAGGGGGTACAATAAACCCGACGAACACAGTGCCATATCCCTTAACAGTAATAATAATATTTGAGAAACAACTTTTGTAAAGAAAATTTCATATTTATAATGGTACTAACCTGTATAACTTAATTATAAGTACCTTAATTGAATTACCAGTAGTCAGAATCTGATCATGGAATAATTTGAAGCGTTT